GAACTTCAGTTTCGAAATTCCATCCTAGGGCTGCTTGTCCAATGATAATATTTAGTTTCTAAAGCCCCCCTATGTTTTCCTTATGGTTTTAATAATTGCATTATTTGCTTCAAGAATAACAAAATAATATGGGCGTAGAACTGCCAGTCTTGTGTGCTGGGAGGCATTGAAACGCGACAGGAATTCATTATTGAGAAGAAGATTATCTCTGCATTTTTAGTCCAGAGAAAAGTAAAAAGTTGAATTTATTAGTGCTTTACGTGATAATATTCCACACAGTCTAAGTCGGTGTTTCTCAACCTTGGCAACTTGAAGAGGTGTGGATTTCAACTCCCAGAATTTCCCAGCCATCATGCTGTAATTTCACACACTGGCGGCGCCTCAGTAATTCTGAGAATTGAAATCTACAAATCTTCAAATTGCCAAGGTCAAGAAACATCGGTCTATATCCTCTTCTCAGCACAGCTACCTTAGGTTCTCTGCCAACCTTGCAGTGGTGGGATTCAAATTTTTTTACTGCCGGTTCTGTGGCATGGCTTGGTGGGTGTGGCAGGGAAAGGATACTGTAAAATCTCCATTTCCACCCCACTCCTGGGGGAAGGTTACTGCAAAATCCCATTCCTTTCCCACCCCACTAACCTGTTTTCCAGCTCCGTTCTCCTGTGCAGGGCAACAAAAGAAGACCCAGCCAATCAGCTGGGACTCAGGAGGCGGAGAATAGATGGGGGTGGGGCCAGTCAGAGGTGGTATTTGCTTGTTCTCCGAACTACTCAAAATGTCCGCTACCGGTTCTCCAGAACTGGTCAGAACCTGCTGAATACCACTTCTGCAACCTTGGATAAATATCTGGAGAAGGTCTTGAAGAATCTAGTCCAAAGTTCTTCTCAGTGACAGTATGCATACAGGTAGCACTCAACTTACAACAGTTCATTTAGTGACTGTCCAAATTTATTACCGGACTGAAAAAATTACAGCTGTTGCAGTAACCTCACGGTCATACTATATAATCAAAATTGGGATGCTCGGCAATTGATTCATATTTATGACGGCTGCAATGTTCCGGAATCAGGTGGTCACTTTTTGCAATTTTCTTTACAAGCAAAGTCATTGAGAAAGGCAGATTCATTTAATAACCATGTTACTAACTTAATAACTCCAGTGATTCACTTAATACCTGCGGTGAGAAAAGTTGTAAAATGAGACAAATAAAATCACTTAACAAATATTTACGTATGGACAGAAATTTTGGGCTCCATTGTGATCAAAGGCTACCTTTGCCTACTGCATCGCTAACAGATGACTGTCCAACCTTTGCTTGAAAACCTCCAGCAGGACAGAATTCACATCATTATAATTGATTCCATTATCTAACTACCCTTACTGTAAAGAAAGTTAGTATGAACCTTCAACCAAAATCTTTAATTTTGAATTTAAGGTGGTCTCTGTGATAACAAAGAGTAGGGACAAGTTTTCTCTGTGGTAGGTTTTCAGGTTTTTGGAGAAGGCTATTGTGTCCCATTGAAATCACAGGCTGAAGTGCATTGTGTAAATCTCAAAGGTGCTTTTTCAGAAAGCAGTTTTTACTTTCTTTCTTTGAAGATGTTTTGCTTCTCATCCAAGAAACTTCTTCAGCTCTGACTGGATGGTGTGAAAGGGAAGGATTTATATTCCTTGCAGACAGCTGGTCATTTGCATTCTTTTAGTCATTGAGGCCACATTTAGAGAGTCATTGAGCCCTTTTTCTTCAATAGTGAAGCGACACAGGCCAGAAAACATCCTACAGCCAAGAAGGCTCCACAGCTATTTGCACTACTCAGGTGACCCTGAGGACATAGATAAACCATCAAATAGCCTTAACAACTCTCTAAAAGAATACAAATGACCAGCTGTCTGCAAGGAATATAAATCCTTCCACCATCCCCCCCCCATCCAGTCAGAGCTGAAGAAGCTTCTTGGATGAGAAGCAAAGCGTCTTCAAAGAAAAACAACAAGAAGAAAGCCCATTTGCCTCCTGAAAAAGCACCTTTGGGACAACCATGACTTGGATGACTGAGAATCTCCACAGACTTTTTGCATTGTGTAAAGTATTCCTAGGAATTTTATTTGGCGTCATTCTGATAGTGAAACCCAGTCTTCTATTATTCCTTACGTGCAAAAATATAACAATGTCTAGTGATTGCTTGATGAGGCAAGATATTTTCTTTGGAAAGTAAATAATTGAAAATTAATTGAGAATGGCAGAGATCTTTAGAGGTTGGTACAGTGGGATAAAGTGTCTCAAAATACCATAGAAGACACTTCAGATTTTCAATATTTGAAATCATTAGCTATACATTTTACACTGAAAGCAGTAAGATTCATGTTAAAAAATATTTGTTTTCTGAGAGACAAGCATTATTTACATTCATACTGCCAGATAAGTAAGTAAAACTAGCATTTGTGCATTTGATATGAATTGTCCTTTTTAATTTTTTACGACCTTCCTTCCTTCCTTCCTTCCTTCCTTCCTTCCTCCCTTCCTCCCTCCCTCCCTCCCTCCCTCCCTCCCTCCTTCCCTCCCTTTTCCATTGGCTAATTGCAATAAAATATATCAGATTTAAATACTAGCAAGGGTAAACTTTCCTTACATTACACCCAAGAAGTACATGGATTTCCACAAACTGTTGATAAACATTTAAACTTCTATGTATTAGTGCAGTATCTTTGACAAGAATGTATGAACATACAGTAAATATTAAAAAATAATATAACCACTAGATGTCACCACATTTCACTCAAATAAAAGAACAAAGAAAACTCCTTTGATCTTTGCTAACCTGTCTTTTAAAACTTGCCCTCTTACCTTCCAAACTACTGCAAGCACTAGATACTCGAGGAAGTTCAGATTGACATGAAAGGAATGGTTTTACACTCCATAGTAAGAGCCAATGAAGTGACAGGGTTACTTAGAGCATTGAAGTATACTATCTTCACGAGGCATGGTGTGCACAATTTTGTTCCATCATAGAATAATCTACCGTTCTCTGGAATGTTCTTTCTTCTCAGAAGGGAAAGTTCTTCCAAACTCCCTTCATGATACTTGTGGGAAGTTTTATATCAAAATACAACTAATCCTTGAGTTACAACAGTTCATTTATTGACCATTCAAAGTTACAAGGTCACTGAAGAAGGTGACTTATGACCGTTTTTCACACTTACCACCGTTGCAGTCTCCCTTTGGTCACATGATCAAAATTCAGATGCTTAAAAATTGACTCATATTTATGAAGGTTGCAATGTTTTGGGGTCATGTGATCCCTTTTTGCGACCTTTTGACAAAAAAAGTCAATGGAGAAGCCAGATTCATTTAACAACCATGTTACTAATATAACAATGGCAGTGATTCACTTAACACCTGTGGCAAGAAAGATGATAAAATGAGGCAAAACTCACTTAATAACTGTCTCATTTAGCAATGGAATTTTTGGGCTCAGTTGTGGTCAATTGTTATTCTGTTTTTGTTCTGTTACATCTAATGAGACCAAGAAGAAGGACCTTCTCCGTGGTAACTCTCTCCCTGTAGATTATCAACCCTGCAGAGGAATTATTGTCTCTCACTTCGATAGTCTTCTGGGAGGCCCCAAAGACCTGATTTTGCCAACAGGCCTGAGAACCCCAGGATGATATGGAATCCATCAATTGGTTTGTTTGACTGTCGTCACCAGAAGGTCGGTGAGTTTTCACTGGATTTTGTATTTGGAGTTTCACTTCTATAAGCCATCCGAGATCAACATGCGTGAGTTGGGTGGCTGTATGAACAAATAAAGCTTTTGTGTAATATAGTTTCTGAGAATCTTCTTGCCCTCTGTGTACGTTTGGGAGACAAGCTACTTCAACTGAGTCCAATTTCGACGTGCAACTTGAAGTAAGCTGACTGAGCCATAACTGTAGACCATATTGTCCCAAAGGTGCTTTTTTTTTTTTTTTCAAGAGGCAACTGGACTTCCTGGTTTTTCTTTGAAGACGTTTCACTTCTGATCCAAGAAGCTTCTGCAGCTCTGACTGCACAGTGAAGAATAGAAGGATCCAGTCTTGGATCCAGTCGAAGCTGAAGAAGCTTCTTGGATGAGAAGAGAAACATTTTCATTTCAGAAAGTCCAGTTGCCTCTTGAAGCCATGACCTAGATGACTGAGAGTCTCCATAGACATGTAGACCAGAGGTGGTATTCAGCAGGTTCTGACCAGTTCTGGAGAACCAGTAGCAGAAATTTTGAGTAGTTCAGAGAACCAGCAAATACTACCTCTGACTGGCCCCACCTCCATCTATTCTCTGCCTCCCGATCTGCCTCCCGATCACCCTGCACAGGAGAACAGAGCTGGAATGCAGGTTACTGGGGTGGGAAGGGAATGGGAATTTTACAGTATCCTCCCCCTGCCACACCTGCAAAGCCACGCCCACCAAGCCACACCCACCAAGCCATGTCCACAGAACCAGTAGTAAAATTTTTTGAATCCCACCACTGATGTAGACCATAGACCAGACCTAGGCGGTACGAACAAAAGCTTCCCTTGGCTAAAGCGGTTATGCTTTGCTTTGGCCTGGCATTTTAATAAGTTGCATCAACGAGTTTCAGCCCTTCGCACACATTGTGCAAAAGAGAAGATCAAAGGTGATATTGATGTCTTCTGTGGAAAAACTCTGAGAGGAAAAAATCAACTCTTGTCACAGAGAGGCAAAAGCTGTGATATTTTTTTGGCGCTATCCCTCTGCTTGACTCCTACCTGCCATTTTTCACTGCCTCAGGACAAAGTAGTAGCCAGATAGCTGTGTTTGGTCATGAATCATTTTTCTCACAGCCTCTCTCCATTTTTATTTGCTGAAAATCTCCGTTACTCCGTTATCTGTCAAGTGCTCCCTATCTGCTAAGCCAGCAAACAAGAGACAAAGCCATATCAAATGCCCATGAATTACAAACACGCTGTGCGTCCATAGATCATTGCGCTGATGTATTGATACTTACGGTGCTGCTAGTGAATTCGGGTGGGTTGTCGTTCACATCTGTCACCATAATGATTGCTGTCGCTGTGTTCGAGAGACCGTAGTTAAGGTTTCCTTCCATATCGGTGGCCTGAATGATGACTGTGTATTGCTGAACTTTCTGGAAACAAAAGAGAAAAAGGAGACAAGAATGCATGATGTAAAATAGTATTTTATTCTTTTCCCGTTGCTAAGTGCAAATCTATGGAGAACTATTCCTAAAATTTCTTAGGAACAAGTTTTCTTTCGCAATGTTGTTTCTTCCCAAAGTGATACAGGTAATCCTGATTTGCAACCGTTCATTTAATGATGTTTCAAACCACACTAAATTGTGGACCATATATAATTGCAGGAATTGGGCATGGCTAGTCCAGTGAAAAAAAGGACTAGGGGGTGACATGATAGCAGTATTCCAATATTTGAGGGGCTGCCGTAAAGAAGAGGGAGTCAAGCTATTCTCCAAAGCACCTGAAGGCAGGACAAGAAGCAATGAATGGAAACCAATCAAGGAGAGAAGCAATCTAGAATTAAGAAGCAATTTCCTGAGAGTTAGAACAATTAACCAGTGGGATGACTTTCCTTCAGGAGTTGTGCGTGCTCCAGCACTGGTGGCTTTTAAGAAGAAACTGGACAGGCACTTCTTTGGAATGGTATAGGGTGGTTAAGTAGCAGGTTGGACTAGAAGACCTTCAAGATACCTTCCAACTCTGTTATTCTGAAAAAAAGTGACTAATGGTTGTTTTTCACACTTACAATTGTTGCAGCATCCTCATGGAGGATAAAACGATCAATGACAGTGGTTGTCAAAAAAGGTGCTACCGAATTTCTATTTTTTTTTGCCACCATAGACTGAAATGGATCTCCAAAAGGGATCTGGTGTGGGGGGAATTTATCTTTCTCAGCTGCTGGCAAAAATGAAATATAGTAAAAAAGTGACCTGTTTTCATTCAGAGCCAGTGCAGAGGTGGTGTTCAGCAGGTTCTGACCAGTTCTGGAGAACCGATGGCAGAACTTTTGAGGAGTTCGGAGAACCCGCCAATACCACCTCTGATTGGAGATTTTACAGTATCCTTCCCCCCTGCCACGCCCACCAAGCCACGCCCACAGAACCGGTAGTAAAAAATTTTGAATCCCACCACTGAGCTAGTGGGAATACTTGCAATGCTGAACCTCCTGACCTTTGACAAAAATGGTCTTGCAAGAGACACATATTGAAGTAGAATGCAAAGGCATCATCCCTATATAGCAGGGGTGTCAAACTCGGTGGCATCGCACGGTGGCATCGTCACGGTGGCATCGCATGATTTTTTTCCTCTTTGCTAAACCAGGCGTGGGAGTAGCCAGCGCATGACGCATCCAGCCTGTGGGCCACGATTTTGGCAGCCCTCCCCTATAGGATATTTAGCCCAACTGCCTTTAATGGATGGCTTCCTCCCTGAATTTATTAGATCCCTTGGTGAAGTCACCCAGGTTGGAGGTCATTGCTGATATCATGGCAAAGAATTCCAGTGTAAGAAACAGCTCAGTGATCAAACACAGAACAGAAAAAGTCGCCTGGAGCTTGGAAGGTGACAAATGCAAGAGCTGAGGACATGCTGATGACTATTTAGGCATGTATGTATTTATTTATTTGTCAAACATGTACAAGATAACAAGTGTAAGTATGATCATAAACAAAAACAAAGGAAATAAATACAGATAAATGGGGAGGGTAAGACAGAGATGCTAGGCACGCAGGTGTGCTTATGCCCTTATCCCCTTTAAGGACCTTTTAGGAATGGGGGTGAGGTCCACAGTAGACAGTTTGAGGTTGAAGCTGTGAGGGGTTGAGGCTGCAACAATGGAGTCGGGTAGGGTGTTCCAGGTATTGACCACTCTGTTACTGAAGTCAGATAACAGATAATCAGAGTTGGAAGGGACTTTGTAGGTCATCTAGTCCAACCCTCTTCCCAAGCAGGAGACCCTACACCATTTCTGAAAAATGGCAGTCTAATCTCTTCTTGAAAGTCTCAAGAATCTGGAGGCTAAATCATATTGTGAATGGCTAAGGAAATTAGGTATGTTTACCCTAAGTAGGAGGCGGCTTAGGGGAGACATGATAGCCATCTTCCAATACTTGAAGGGCTGCCACAGGGAAGAGTCCATTTGTTCTCCAAAGCACTTGAGGGCAGGACAAGAAGTAATGGGTGCAAGATCATCGGAGGATGATCCAACCTCAAAATAAAGAGGAATTTCCTGATTAATCAATGGAACATTTTGCCTCCTGAAGTTGTGGGTGTTCCATCACTGAAGGTTTTCAAGAAAAGATGGGACAACCCTTTGTCTGAGATACAAACAATCAGAGTTGGAAGGGACCTTGTAGGTCATCTAGGCCAACCCCTTGCCCAAGCAGACCCTACCCCATTTCTGACTGATGGCAGTCCAGTCTCTTCTTAAAAGCTTCCAGTGATGAAACTCACACAACTTCTGAAGGCAACTTCTGTTCCATGGGTTGATTGTTCTCACTGTCAGAAAGTTTCTTCTTATTTCCAGGTTAAATCTCTCCTTGTTCAGTTTCCATCTATTATTTCTTGTCTGGCCTACAGGTGCTTCAGAAAATAGCTTGATCCCTTCCTCTCTTTGGCAGCTCCTCAAATATTGGAGTACTGCTATCATGTCTCCCCTGGTCCTTCTCTTCACTAGACTAGCCAGGCTCAGTTCCTGCAACTGTTCAGTATATGTTTTATCCTACAGTCCCCTAATCATCCTGGTTGCTCTTCTCTGCACGTTTTCTAGAACCTCAACATCTTTTTATAGTGTGGTGACTAAAACTGGATGCAGTACTCTAGGTGTGGTCTTACTAAGGCTTTACAGAATGGTATTAGTACCTCCTTTGATCTTGATTGTATCAAGGTATGAAGACTCCTGTCTTGGGCAGAGAATTGGTCTAGAAGCAGAGGTGGTATTCAGCAGGTTCTGATAAGTTCTGGAGAACCAGTAGCGGAAATTTTGAGTAGTTTGAAAAACTGGCAAATACCACCTCTGACTGGCCCCTCCACAAGAGAACGGAGCTAGAAAGCAGGTTAGTGGGGTGGGGAGGGAATGGAGATTTTGCAGTTTCCTTCCCCTGCTGCGCCCATCAAGCCACGCCCACCAAGCCATACCTACAGAACCGGTAGTAAAAATGTTTGAATCCCACAACTTCTCTAGAAGACCTCAAGGTCCCTTCCAACTCTATGATCCTATGATTCTAAGGCCCTAATGGCGAACCTATGGTACATGTGCCAGAAGTGTCATGCAGAGCCATTTCTCTGGGCATGCCAGCCATCGCCCGTTGCTCTTCCGTGTTCCGGGGCATGCATGCATGCCAGCCAACTGGTCTTTGTGTGCACAGGGGCACCGGAAACCAGAAGAGCAGCCCCCGGCATGCATGTGCGCGTCGGCAGGCTGACCTTTTGGTTTCTGGCACAAGCATGCACACCATTCATCTGGTCATTGCATGTGCATGCACAACAAAACTGGAAGACCAGTGGCTGGCATGCATGCGCACACCGGAAACTAGAAGCTGCTCTTTCGGTTTCCGGCATTCCCCCGCATGTGCGAGCTCTTGTTTTGGCACTTGGTGCTGAAAAGGTTTGCCAACACTGTTCTAAAGCAATGACAAATCACTTTCCCTCTGCTGTAAAGATCCATCTGTAAAGATCCACAGAAGTTAAGCTCGACTTAAAAGAGATTTTACTATTTCTCTCCCCGCTTAGCATAAGAAAACGAAGAGATCAAGCATTTCTTCTCATTTACACTTGGCAGTTTTCTATTCCATTTTCTTTGCAGCATGACCCCTAAAAAGCAGTCACTAGGTACAGAGGTCATCACTTAGATATTTATCACTTGGAACAACCTGGGACTTTCAGGGCCATTGACTTCTTTGGTCTTGCTGTCTTGCCTCCAGCGAGGGCACTGCAAAGGCAGCTGTCGTCTCTTTGTCAAAAGTAACTCGCAAACTGGTATGTGCTGTTTTGCAAATTGCAATCTGAGCCTCACATTCAGCTGCAAGGGAAGGTCATCCTAGGCTACAGAAATCTCTCAGTAAAGGAAATGGCATTTAACATGACAACACCTTAGCGCAACATAGAACTCTGGCAAAAGGAGACTGCTTAAAGATTGTTCCACCAAACTGCAGCCAACCCCATTTAATGCCACAAAAATTAGCCCTGAATCAGAAATGGGTAAGAACTTATTGCTAGTTAAGAGCCAGAGGGTGGAGTTAAGAGAGCAACCAGTCTGGAATCCTTACATTCCTACAAATGATCCAAGCAGATTAATGACAGAAACAAAGGATCAGGACTAAGCTCAAATCAACTTAAGTGTTGTATGTCCATTCGAAAGCGAGAGATTGAAAAAGTTTTGACACTGAAAGGAATTGGAATGAAGTTGAGTAAATGTAAAAAACAACAACATATGTGACTAGAGAAGCAGTAACAAAAAGTAATAATTTGGACAAAACCTGAAATGTAAAAGGAAATCAGATCCATTCCTGAAAAGTTGAGCATTTTTTTGCAGAAAGAGGAGATGATGTCAAACATGCAAATCAGAGGTGGTATTCAGCAAGTTCTGACCAGTTCTGAAGAACCAGTAGCGGAAATTTCGAGTAGTTTGGAGAACCGGCAAATACCACCTCTGACTGGAGATTTTACAGTCTCCTTTCCCTGCCACGCCCAACAAGCCCCCGCCGACAGAACCAGTAGTAAAAAATTTTGAATCACACCAAAATTTTTTGAATCACACCAAACAAAATTGGTGTTTTGGTATCCCAAAACACCAATTTGGCAGAAACAATCTTTTTAAAATGTAGAGTCCCTTGCATATCCATATTTTGCAGCTACAATATGATGTCCCTACGATACGAGCTAAGCATCCAGGCCATCTATAGCCTATGATAAGAATATTTCACTAAAATTGGTGGTTTAGTGTCCTTGATTTAGTATTATTTTAGCCGAGGGAGATAATATGAGGCTAAAATAAAATAAGAAATAAAAACAAGCTATGTGTTTATTTGGAGTATTTAAGCATATCTCTGAAAAGTCAGAAAATACCCTAACTAGGAGAAGCAATAAAAAAAAAGAGGGAATTTAAAACATTAAT